CTGAGCTAAATCCCCAGCCCCCTAAATTTTTTAAAGAACGAAAAAGTTACTGTATCCTAAAGCCCATAACAATTTGCCTCTTCTTGGATGATTTGCCCTTATATGTCTAGAATGTCATCACTTCTTGGCCTTTTGGCTAAGATCAAGTGTAGTATCTGTTCTTTTCAGTAGCAAATCTATTTAAAAACAAGTTTAAAAAATTACTCAGCAGGGTTTTTGAATCCATTTTTTAAATCATTATGCAGAAAGGGGCTTGAACTTCTAAATATTTTATATATAGTAAAGCAATCTGTATGTTATCTTTTGAATGGTTAATTTGCTGTTAGTTTAACTTAAGTTCCATAGATTTTTTTTTTTTTTTGCTGACTTTTCTGCCCTAAACAGAACAACATGATAGAAGCAATCGGAAAAACTCATACATACTTATACCTACATGCACACCCTAACCAAACCCCAAACCAACAGATAAGCAAAACAAATAACAAAAACACACATAGGACTAGCATATACATCCTTTGGAGGTATTTATAGTGGGGACAATTGTTGAACACCTCCTGATGTAAAGAGGGTTGTGAAAAGTTTTTTTTTTTAGTGCACAGTTATTCTTCTCAGCTTCTGTTCAGGTAAGACAGTTTGGGGCAGTCTGGGCTGAGCTCCACCTCTTCATTGTCGCAGGTGAGTACTGAGGCAAAACTGTCAGTGGCAGGGCTCAGTCCACACCTAAACTTGTTACTGTTGTTGTTTTTGTTTGTTGTACCTGGGAACAAGGGCACAGATAAAGTTGGAGTAGTCCACCACACTTCTCTCTCTCTGGCCTTGCCTGAGCAGTAGTCTAGATGGTGGGCCCCTAGATTATGGGAGACATGACTAGCAGGTGTCATGCTGCAGTGGGGTATTCTTAATGTGTCCGAGCAGGGCAGAGGTGGTTGAGCCCATAGGTTCTGCACTGTTCATTAGGGTGACTAACAGCTGTCAGTGCTGTTGTCTCTAGTCTGTCATGGTCCAAACCTCTGGATTGGTGGTGTGGCATTAGTGCAGCTCTCAGATTGATGGTGTGGCATTAGTGCAGCTCTCAGCCTCCCACACTGGCCTCCTGTGGCCTCTGCTGCCAGTACCACCCTTGCTTCTCTATCTGCCCCTCACTCTTTTGGTTGTTTAGCTGTGCAGCAGCTAAGTCTTTCTAGCTCATGACTCCAGCGGCTTCCAGGACTGGGGAGGCTACAGCCCCTACCTGAGAGTAAGGTGTGTTGAACACTGAGTGGCTGCTATTCCAGGCTGTTGCTTCTCCAGGAGGATTATGTAAATCTCAATCTCGCCAAACCTGCCAGAAAGAAATGCCTAGGCCCTGAGTGGTGACTGGTTGTTACTTACTCTAATTACCAGCATTTCTGGGTTTCATCTGGTCTCTGGCTCTCTCCAGTGGCATTCCAGTTGGGTGGTCCTCCCACCTCTTTTTCAGGCATATGCCTGTGGGTTGGGAGTATACTCCAGAGTGGCTTGTGTGTGCCGCTTGTTTCCAGTCCCCATGCTCTGTGTAGTGAACAAGGAAGGCTAGCAACATGATGCTGTGGTAGATGTTGCCCTCATGCATTTAAGACAGAAGGCCTGAAGGTAGATAAAAGTGAATGTAGGTCTAAGTTTATTTGAATGAATATAGTTGTTCCTTATTAGTGCAGGTTAGAAATCTTTACCAAAGGTTCTGTTAAATTTGAGGTATGATGTAAAATGAATGACCTGTAATGGTGAAGGTTCTTTGGTGTAACAGTTTAGCACCATGCTGGATCATGAGATCAAAGATATGCAGTTCTTGGGATTTTGGATCCTATAAGTATAAAAGCAATTTAAATTTAAAATATTGTGAAAGTAAATTTCATCCCTACTTCAGAAAAAGTATAATAATTGCTATAATTTCTAAGTCAATTGAAAAGGCCAGATTGATTTTTTTGTTTAACTAAATGTTATGTGTATTTTTGTAAATGAACTTTTAGTTAAAATAGCTACTGTTGGGGCTGGGGATTTAGCACAGCAGCACAGCGCCTGCCTGGCAAGCGCAAGGTCGTGAGTTCGACCCCCCGGTACCAGAAAAAAAACAAAAGGAAAGAAAATAGCTACTGTTCAACTAGGGCTAATAACTCTTTTAATGCAATTAATATAAAACACTCCTGCAAGTTAATATCTGTTTTTCATATAACTTTTTCTTGATCATTCCTTCATGTAACCACTAATAATAGAATTGTGACATCATCTAATAAAGTAACCACAGAATACTATTTTAATTACACTGGAATACAATGTAAAAATTCTCAACTCCAAATTTAATCATTTTTCTTTTTTATTCCTCCTTCCCATAGTAATCAAAGCAAAGAAGCTTTCATTGACTGGGCAAGATATGATGATTCACAGGATCACTTTTGTGAACTTGATGGTAATAAAATAAACTATTATGATTGAATTATTTTAACTTTAATCCTTTTATAAGACATTTAAATCAGTAAAAATGTAACCTGTGTTACAGCTTTAACATTTGATTTTGCTATGTAGATTTTATTCATAAGAGCATTTGGGAGCCTATGTTCCAGGCCTTGTATTAAGTGCCTTATAAACATTATTTCGAATCTTTACAACTACCTTAATAGGTATGTGTTTTTTTCGTATCTAAGGACCTAATTCTCCAATAGACTAAATTGCCCTCAGTCACACAGTAGCAGGGGGCTTAGGTGGGATATTATCCCAGCTCCAAAGGGTCCAAAACCTGTGTTCTTTCCAGTATATCACACTACCTCCTGTGGGTCTTCAGTTGAAATCACTTGGTTATAGGTCCTTGAATATTGTCTTAGTTACTTTTCTCATTGCTGAAACAAAATACTCAATGCCCAAAGTTAAGGGACAAAAGCTGTATTTAGCTCACATTTGCGCAGATATCAGTCCATTAATTGGCTGGCTCCAATTATGGCAGGGTGGCATCATAGAGAAGAACAGTTCATGGTGCGCAGAAGGCAGCCAAAAAGGAAAGGGAGATGACCACAGCTCTTTCTGTCCTTTATATTTTATCTAGGCTACTTAGGCTGAATAGCACTCACACCCTTCATCCCAGTGCCCTTGATCCTAGCATTGCACCATGAATCAGTTCCAGTGTCACATACTCTAGACCCAACACCTCTGAAAAGGCCCACCTATGACCACATGAGACTTTGGGGGAACATCTAGCCATGGGCCATAATAAATATACAAAAATGTTTACACTGGAACCTGTTGGAGGTCTCAACCAACTCATATGACGATGCCTTCTAATGTCAGGGAGGACTCTGGTTTGACTTCCTCACATCGCTCTCTTTCCGAGAGTCTCCTGGAAGGATCCAAAGGTGGGACACTGTCCAACAGAGTAACTACCACTTCTATAAAAAGGAGATAATTGTTCCAATGATTTAGAAATTTTTATCTGTACTTGTGAAGAACGTGAATGGAGAATAGTATTTCCAAAGAACTGTGCTGTGTAGGCTGGAATCATGCATTTGACCCCTTCACCTTTACCTTGTTGCTGTTACATTTTTAGCGGTGGCAAAGAATTGGGGTTCAAGCATGCACAGTTGAAAATGGACAACAGGTTTTTTTCTGAACCCTTTTCAAGGATCTAAAGTGATCATCATGCTTTCTTTTAAAAGGTTAAAAAGAGCTAGAACTGTGCCATCAATCTATAGTGTAAGTTACTGTGGGCTTCTAAAGGATAGTATATTGAATACTGGGAGATAGAATATTGTTATCACCGTTTATGTCATTCCAGCTAGGAAAATGTTTGAGCAATCTGAGCAAGGTTCTTTGGGTATCTGGGTATACTAATGGCCAGCTAATAAACTATCCCCATTATGATATTTAGAATTGGCACGAGTTTTATCAGAGCAAGCCGCTGTACCTACATGAAGTTGCATCACTGCGTTCTCTGTTATTTGTTCTTTGGCTGTCATTCTAATAATATTTGCATGTTTAACACTATAGTCAACTTCTTTTGAGTTCCTCCTTTTATCTCTTTAATGTTTTAAAAAAATCTGATCATGCTCACTTAACAAGTTTTTAGATCAGTAAATCATTTCTATAATTATAAATTACTCATGATAGTTTTTTCATAACCATACTAAATTGCAAGGGTTACTTCTGTAAGTAAATTGATGTGCTAAATTTACCAGTCCTCAATCTGGTGTTAATATTTTTCTTTTCTGTAGTCCTAGGGATTGAACCCAGGGCTTTTGTACTGTGCTACATCCCCAGCCCCTCTACTCCCTTTTTTCATTTTGAAACAGAGTATCACCAAGTGGGTACATGCTCTGGCTGAGTTCAAATTTATGATCCTCCTACCTCAGCCTCCCAGTGTACTGGGATTAAAGCAGGCACCACCACTGCTGGTTTCCATTTACCCCACCCACCACTCACAACTACCTGGAAGTGTGGCATATTATTTAGTTTACCAGTTCTAAATGGTAGACATTCTGTAAGGACTTGTATAAAATCATTTCAGATTTTTCGGATTATATATTTAAAGTAATGAGGTTTTTTTTTCAATTTTATCTAATTCTTATGCATATAAAACCATGCTACTTACTAATTGGATTACTATTATTCCTCTGAATAGTAGTTTTTGTGTCCCAATGATTTATACTTACAATTTGTTTTACTGTCAGCGTAGCTTAGGATCATTGTTTAGTTATTCCTGCTATCTAAATTCAGAATGTTGAATTGTAAAGACCATTCACTCTAATTTATTAGGGAAAATATCCATATGCCCCTGTTCCTTGCTGTTTTCCTATTGTTACTGTCTCTGTTTCAATGGAAGATGATCCCTGTGGATGAAGTAGCATTACTTTAAATAATTTAGCAGTTTAATATCCACTAAAATGAGCTGCTGTACCTGCCCTATTGTTTTCATTACCATCTTTGTGTATGGCTTGCTTCTTCCTTTGGCTCATATTTCTGCTCAAATGTTTTATCAGAGAAGCTTGCTCTCCTCTCCTGTACAGACTAGGGCTTGCTCTTTGATTCACTGCTGTATTCTTAGTGCCTAGAATAGTGCCTAAATGTCATAGGTGTTTAATAAAGATTTGCTGAATGAAGCACTTGCTTCATAAATAACCTAAATAGCATGATAAACTTTAACTTTTATCTTTCCCTGAAAAGATGTTAGTACATTTAAAATACTGTTTAAAACAGTAGTTGCTAAGGATACCACTCATGCCATGGGAGCCATAATTAATGACGCAGTCACAAGGAAACATTTCCTTATTGATGAAGATGAAGACTGTGTCCATCTCCATTAGTTGCAGAATTAATCTGCTAGTGAAAAGTTTCATTGAATGATGCAACTCTGGCTCTCAAGAAGAGGGATATAGCCAACACCAACTGAGTATCCTGAGCACACTGTCGCAGTGTGAGTTTTCAATGAGCAGAACTTTGCTGGTGTGTGATATGATTCTCAGGGGAATGGAAAACTATGAAAAATTTACAAAGAAATAGAATGTTACATTACAGGAGCACATGAAAAAATTGCTGAGTACAAAAAGCAAATTCTTCAAGTAAGATAAATACGAAAAACTTGCCAGGAATGTGATCACCTTTGGCAAAGGTAATCTAGCATCATCCAAACAGGCATGAGAGCTTAAACAGCTAGAGGCTCTGGGAAGAAAAATTAGAGCATCTTTCACATATTAAAGAAAGCATAGAAGATAATTGAGACAGAAGCCATTTCATGTTCTTCTTAGCATCATCTGTAAACTTCAGCCAACACTGGAAAATGATGAGAACCTCTTGGAAGTAGAAGAAGCTCAAGAAACAAGCACAGATATGGACCCTCAGCCACAGCAGGTTAATCATCCACCATTCCCCAGAGTGTTGGAAGAGCTACATGGTTTTAATGTGTTTAGAATCTGTGCTCTTAATAATTAAAAAAAAAAAAAAATAGAATCTGTGCCCTTGAGATAGTTAAAGGTTTGGCAGTAAATTCTTTTAAATATTAATACTCATTTCACTCATTTCTTCACACAAAGGAAAATGACTTCAGTGTATATTTTTTTATTGCAACACATTTTTCTTAAAAGACAGGGAACAGTCAAATATGTTTAATAAAATGTATTCAAAGCTGGGTGTTTGTGCTCCTTAGTGCAGGTAGTTGTTGAGTAGTAACATCAATTGCTTTATAAAACAAGTTGAAGATTGTGAGAAGATGGCATTTTTAGGATGTAAATGAGAAAATGAGTCACTTTCTTAAAATTATTACCATTTTTAAAAATAAGTCCATGAATAAGCTTCAAGAGGGCCACAAACCCATAAAATTGTATGCAAAATGTTTCTTATAGTAAGGAAAATTTCCATGACACTGAGGACCACTGGTGTAAGGGGTAATTATAAGATGTAAACCCATGGGCATTGCTTTCTCTCTCTCTCCCTTTATAATGATTGTAAAATTAAGCTGCAGCTTCCATTCTTATCCATTTATTTTAGTTTAGAGACATGACACTCTGCAAGAATTGTACCTTAACCGAGGTACATTTTTATAATTTTAATAAGAATTTTTATCTTTAAAAGTTTAAAATTACCTCAGTAGCTTGCCTGGCAAGTGCAAGGTCCTCAGTTTAATTGCCAGTACTATAAAGAAAAAATTACCTCAGTAGCAGTTATATTAAAGGTGTCAAAATACCTTTAAAACAAAACAATAGTTGCTAAGTCTGGCTTTGTATCAAAATCACTTGAGAACTTTATAAGCTATAGATTTTCCTTGACTGTGTAGATCATGTTCTGACAGTGAGTTAGTAGCAGTTTGGGGTAGGCTTGGTGGTGCAGGTCTCCAGGCACAGTCCTGAATCCATGACATAGCAAACGGACTATCAGCAAAAAGCTTCATCCTAAATTGACCTGTGCTGCTATGTCTTACAAATACACAGGTGAGGAGGCAGAGCAAAGTGCACACTAGAAAATGGCTTGTGACCTCATCACACTACTACTAAACTAGGACAGTGAGAGGAGAATTCAATGGGGAAACATGTATACTTGAGAAGGAGAAAAAAACAAGGGTCCAGTTAGATAAATCTCCAGAATTAATCGTGATTCAGTAGAAGGTCTTTGAATTGTTAGGTAATGATCAACATAGTTAAGTAGAAAGCAGAGCTTTGTAGCAGCTTTGTAGAGGGAGAAAGAGTAAACTTTCTGTGTTATGGTTTGTGTCTGCATGTCCCCGCAAATCCTCATGCAGTCATGGGGTGGACTTCTAGGATTTGTGATTGATCTGTAATCCAGTGCTGGGATTATGGGTGTGAGTGCTACCACCCGCCCTGAGGCGAGTAGTTTGCATACAGTGTAAGGGAGGGAAAGAGGCTGCTTGCCGCCATTCCTCCCTTTTGCTGTTGTTTTTGCTGTGTTCCGCCACCATGAACACTTGCCCTCTGCCATGTGCCACTCTGCCTTGGAACCAGCCCAGTATGGACTGAAACCTCCACAAACTGTGAGCTAAATAAACCTTTCCTTAATTTTGGGCATCAGGTATTTTGTCCCAGCAATGAGAGAAAAGTAACCAAAACAGTCAGGGTACAGAAAGAAAGATGCGTGTAAGTGATCCAGCTGTACCATTATAGAGATACTATAGTTGAGGAACAAGTTAATTAAAACCAGTGCCACTGGTCACCCAGGGCAAGGTGGGCCCCAGCTCTGCTGTGCCTAATGAGGGGAACTAATCACTGTATGCTCTGTCCCCAACACTGCTCATTCTAGCTTCCTGAAAGCTTGTCAGTATAAGTCAGAGACTGACAAGCTTTTTAATAAACAGACAAATGGCAAATGTTTCAGGTTTTATGTACTAGATAGCCTCTCTGGCAACTCCTCAACTCTGCCACATAAGCCAAAACACATGGCTGGTCCAAGAAAACTTTTGTTACAAAAACAGGTAGTAGGCCCCTGAGTGTAGTGTGCCAACCACAAAACCCACCCTTTTCATGATTTAAAAAAGTATTAAGAAGTTAGAGTTAAAATCATTTTAAGAAAATAGTTCATGAAAATGAATATGATTTTACTCTTAGGATTTATTTTAGCTCCCTTAAAATATATTTCATGTCACTGGGTACCTATAGTCCCAGCACTTAGGAGGCTGAGGCAGGAGGATTGCTGTGAGTTTGAGACCAACCTGGACTATATAGTGAGTTCAAGGTCAGCCTGAACTACAATAGTGAGACCCTGTTGCAAAAAAAAAAAAAAAAAAAAAATAGATATATATATATGTGTGTGTGTGTATAATTTATATATATAACATTTTAGATATTTAACTATAGATATTTAAATTTAAAATATATATATAGCACAATCATAGATGACCCTGAATACATGCAGTCTTACATGTGCATACACAGAGTATTAATAGTTTTGCACAATATACATCAAGGAACGTACATGTTCAGTAATACTTGTGAAGTTTATATTTAACTAAGTCAATTTTGAAAGTGAGTTTAAGAGCAGTTAAAGAAATTAAAATAGCCAGGTGTGGTGGCACATGCCTGTAATCCTAGCACTCAGGAGGCTGAGGCAGGAGGATTGTTGCAAGTTTGAGACCAGCCCGGGCTACAAAGTGAGCTCAAGGCCAGGTGGACTGCATAGCGAGACCCTGTCTCAAAAAGACAAAAAAAAAAAAAAGAAAATGTTAGGAATTAATGAATTTTAAAACTACTGAAAACCATACTTTTAATAACTTCAAAATTTAAACTTTGTTTTTTTGAGGCAAGATCTCACTGTGTAGTTCAAGCTGGCCTTGAGTTCACTATGCAGCCCACAATGGCCTCAAACTCATGGCAGTCCTCCTGCTTCAGCCTCCTGAGTGCTGGGATTTTAGGTGTGAGCCACCAGGCCTGGCCAAACTTTTAGTTTTAAGACTTCTTTTTGTTTGTTTGTTTTGTTTTTTGTTTTTTTTTCCATTACCAGGAATCTAACTTACAACCTTGCACTTGCCAGGCAGGTGCTGTGCCGCTGAGCTAAATCCCCACCCCCCAGTTTTAAGACTTCTAAGAAACTTTTAAGATTTTAGAAGTTATTATTAAGTCCTAAATCAATCTGTGTCTTTTACTTGGACAATTTGCCTTGCCATAATTTGTATAGTAGAATAGCTTTATAATTCTAGGGCTAGTCATAAAGCCAGTATCTTATCTTACGTAAAATTTGTTTCCTCTGTCTGTATGGTAATACAGCCCATTTAATAACAGTAGTTTGCTTTGAGGTATTGTGGATTGAATTCAGAGTTTTCCTCATGCTAGGCAAGTGTTCTACTACTGAACTACATCCCCAGCTCCAACAGTGGAGACTTGTAATTTTGTACTCTTCCTGCATCACTAAAGCAGGTAATTCTTGGAATGCGTAGGTCAAGATGCCAGTTTCCCTTATGTGGTTACTGAATCCCAGACTGTGGTTACTGACTGTTCAGTGAGTATTGTTCACTGCTAGGAAAAGTCAGGTATCTGAGTACTACTGATTTATTCTCATAAAATTATTTTACCACCGAAAGGTAGTAAACATGTTAAGGAATACATTTGTGCCAAAGCTTATATGTATTATGATTACACATTTGTGAAGCATATTCATTATAATTTTTCTTTAGCTATAAAAGTATACTTCCCTTTTTGACTCAAAATATGAGCCTTAATGGTTAACACTATTTTGCTTCATATTTTATATTCCTCAGAGATCTCTATTAAAATGTCCAAGCAGGGGAGTTTTAGTACTTCATTTGGATTTTGTTATGGATAATAGTTAGTTTTAGATGTTTCAAGAAGTTGTTGAAAGTTGTGCCTACTATGTACTGTTTGGGAGGGGGAAAGCTCTTTAATATGTTAATATTGGTAAAAATAATATTTTTAAGCTGGAGCACGGTATAGCTCTATGAATAACCAGATTTTAATTAACAAACTTTCTGAGCCATTTACTTTATAAGTCTATGAATGGAGTAACAGGGAAATCTCAATTTTTAATATAAAAGTTTAAATAACGTAGTATTTCCAAGCCTGTGATTGATTACATAGATATACGCTGTATTTGGAGAAGAAATCATATAAAACATGAAAGCAAGTTATGATTTTGTTATTTTCATTCCTGGGTGGTTAAAACTTAAAAGGTAACATATGTTACATTTCTTAAAAGAACTCTGAGTATCCAAAGGAAAGGGAAGAGTTTTTCTTCTCTAAGTAATTTGCCCAAGTTTTATAAACCTTGGGTCAAGAAGAGTCACAAGTATGCTAACCACCCTGCTGTTTAAGTGGGAGATTATTTGAAAAGCGTAGCATTTCTTTAGTGTTTGGGTAGTCCTGTTTGTTTTGTAATGGTAAATTCCAAGTAACCAGTGACATATGGATGGTTCTTACGAACCTTTTCTTGTTCAGATGAGAGATCTCCTGCTGCCCAGTACGTCGACCTTTTGCTGAACCCGGAGCGGTACACTGGCTACAAGGGGCCCTCTGCGTGGAGAGTGTGGAACAGCATCTATGAAGAAAACTGTTTCAAGTAACTGGGGGGTCTGGGAGGTCGGGGGGAGGTTTCTACTGGGAAAGATCATGCGTCTAACCGTCTTATGTTTGGGTTTTATGCTGTTTTTTTAGGCCTCGTTCTGTTTATCGCCCTTTAAATCCTCTGGCACCCAGCCGAGGTGGGTTTTTCATCTATTTTCATAATTTTAGAGACTGTTTATAAAATGTGTCTGTAACTATATTCTGTAAGAAAATATTCAGCTGTTTTATATTTTGCTTAATTTGATTGATTAGCAAAGCTGTAAGATTAGTTCATAGTTAAGTCTTAAGATTTCTGTACATGTCTTTTATCATTGCTGTCATTTATTGAATGTCTGGTATGTGCCAGACCCTAAGCTAGGAACTTTATGTAGAATACATTAGGAGACGTAAGAAATCCTCATATAGCAGAGACTTACTAGGAAACTCCTCCAACTCTGGATGCCCACGCCCTGCCCCATGCTAGTGAGGTCCAAAGCCCTGAGAGGAAGACCCAGGCATCTGTGATTTTTCAGTTCTTCAGATGGCTCCAGTGTGCAGCCAAGTTTGAGAAGCATTTGGCTCAGAACAGTGCTTCTCAAGCCTCAGTGCTCATGCAGATCACCAGCCCTGAGTGCACAGGGCTTGGGCAGGGTCCAGGACCCTAACAAGCTCCAGAGTGCAGCAGTAGGGTGCTGATGCAAACACAAGGAAGGAGTAGCCAGGCAGTGCTCTGCGCTGCACTACCCGCTGGAGCAGCCGGTGGCCACAAGGGGCATCAAGCGTATGAAATGTGGCAGTGTGAACTTGAATTTTTAATTTTATTTAATTTTCATTCATTCAAATGTAAAAACTGAAGCATAAGATACTAGAACAGTGGAGACATCTTCATTCTTTTTTCAGGGAGGAACCACGCCCTAGGAGCCACCCCTGTAACTGACTGGCCAATCCAGTGTTTTCTTTCTTTCCTTTTTTTTCTTTTTCTTTTCCAGTCATATTTTATTGGTGCATTTAAGGTAAACACAAATACCATATTGTTTCTCTGATGTGAGAAACCGAAAGTGTAAATAAGGACCAAAATGTATAATAGGTATTGTGAAATAGGAAGAAAATGTTCAAATGAAGGGAACTAGGGAGGGGAAAGGAAGGAAGGGAAAAGTTTTTTAAAAATGAGAAAAGAAGGAAAAAATGGAAACAAATCAGTGTTTTCTTTAAACCAGGACTGAATAATGAAACTGAACTTCCTGGTGTTGATGAGTCTGTTTTGGCCTCACTCTGGCAAATATCCTCCAGATTCACTCTGAAACTCCTGGAGAAGGGAATTGGATCATCCAAAAGGAGCACAGCTTCTTACATTTTTGTCTCTTTTACTACTATTATCTCATAGCTTTTCAGTTTTCAACTTAAATGTTTTAACTACACAAAATTTTATAAAAATTGAAGCCATATAAAAAGTTACATAAAGTAAAATGGGAAAGCCCCTCCTGCACCTTTCTGTACCACAGTATATAGCATGTAGAGAAATTCTTCCAGACCTCTTCTCTGTTTAATTTTGAAGCAGAAACTTAATTGTTCACTAAAAAAATCAAGTCTTTTTTTTAATTTTAAAGAGAGTAGTACATGAGAACAAACAAACAAAAAAATTGAACAGTAGCACCATACCAGTATCACAAACATAAACAAATCAAAGCAAGAAGATTCAAAGTGATACAGGGTCTCAAGACAAATTAATGCAAATCAACAGTTGTTGTTACATTGCATATTGCCGTCCTCAACTACATTGCTCAGATTATCAGATGTAAGGAGGAAAGATTGCTCAAACCATTAAAGAGAATAAGAAAATAATTCTTCAATAAAACATTAGCGATAATGCAGAGTTTCACTAGACAAGATGGTAGGAGTTCACCGTTGTAATTCCATTGCATATTGTTACCTTCAAATCAGTTGCTCAGCCCACCAGACACAAGCATGCAAAGTTGATCAGAACATAAAAAATTGTGAGCATTAACTTCATTTCAATACACCATCAGACAACAGCAATACAATCATCGCAGCTATTCATATATATATTTATGTTTTGCCTTCCTTCTTTCTTTTTTCTTCTTTCCCTCATCCCAGTCATTCCTTCCTTTGAGCAATTTCTTTCCCTTTCCTATCATCTATTGTATGTTTTGAGTTTTACTTAGTCTTTCAGGTTCCTACACCAAGGAGACAATATAATGTTTACACATGTGGGTCCAATTTATTTCACTTATGAGTATGGTCTCTAGTCGCATCCATTTACCTACAAAAGCCTCGAGTTTATCATTTTTAATAGCTGAGTAATACTCCATTGTATAAAAATACCACAACCTTTTATCCATTCCTCAGTGGATGGGCATCTGGGTTGTTTCCAAGATATAGCTGTAACAAATTGTGCTGCTGTAAACATGGGTGCACATATATCGCTGTGGTATGATGTCTTTAATTCTTCTGGGAAAATACCCAGAAAGGGAATAGCTGGGTTAAAGGGGACTTCTAATCCTAGTTTTGTGAGGAATCTCCAAATTGATTTCCACAGTGGTTTCACCAATCTACACTCCCACCAGCAGTGGAGTAGGGTTCCTTTCTCCCCACAGCCTCTCCAGCATTTGTTATTGGTTAATTTCTTGATGATAGCCATTCTTTCTGGGGTGAGATGGAAT